AAAAAAAAAAAAAAAAAAAAAAAAAAAAAAAAAAAAAAAAAAAAAAAAAAAAAAAAAAAAAAAAAAAAAATTTTTTTTTTTTTTTTTTTTTTTTTTTTTTTTTTTTTTTTTTTTTTTTTTTTTTTTTTTTTTTTGTTTAAAACTAAAGTAAGCTTTTTACAAGCCAACTAATTACATAACTATGTATATTTAACAATTTTCTTAATGGTTTTTTAAATTGCTGTTTAAACCCATGTATTTAGAATTAGTTTTGCTGCTATCGGTAAAATAATTATTTAATCATGTAGGCTTATATTAAATAAAATGTCTAAGTTAACTTTTATTTTATATTATTCAGTATTTTATTATGGTTTGAAATTTAATGAATTTTTTATATTTAAATCATTATTTTTGTATCATTAAAATGCAGCTTTTATATTTTGAAACAAAAATATTCTTTTAAAAAGAATTAAAAAATTCAATTTTTAATATTTTGTTACAATACTTATATCTGCTTATTTTATTCATATTTGAAAACTTATTTATTAAGAGATTAAAGGAAGACAACGTTATTCCAGCCTGTACTCTGCACCTGTTCAGTTCTAAATAAATAGCATTAAAAAAGCTTAAATTATTGTTTTTTAAAAAAAAAAGATTTTTCATAATGTTGAAGCAGGAAATATTCTTATAATAAATCATGCATACATGTATATCAAAATACACTATGTTTTGAAAGTAAAGTTATGTATATTTGTGTACTATGTATTATTCTTTAATAAAAAACAATGATAAAAAGTTTGATTAAAAATAATGATATGAATGCAGAATTTGATTATTTTTATTTTTTTTTAAAAAAACAGTTGATCCCAGTTTTTTTTTCTTAATTATTCACACAGGTTTTTTTTGTGGGTGGGTCAAAAGCCCTAATTACCACCGTATGCCTTCTAATCTAAATTGTAGTAGGGTATAGTCACTAAGGATAAATCCCTATATGTCACATTCACTTTAGTTAAGCTCTAGTGTGGCATTAACAATAAAACTATCTAGGTAAAAAATTACTATTTAATTTTGTATTATGGGATTCTCAATTTGCTTTTAATTATGCTGTTTTTACCTGTATTATCTCCCTAATTTAACAGTGTCATTTTATAATAATTAAAAGCAAATTTCTTTTGTATCTTAAATTCTAATTTCATTCCTTGATATGTTTTTTTCTTAGGAAAATGTGCAAATGCAATTAGAAACAGAATATCGACGAAGATTGATGCATGTCTTTGAGCAAGTTAAAAGACGATTGGCAAGTTTTAATTTGTATTTTTTTACCGTTAAATTTTTATTTTCTACTTTGTATTTCCAAAGATCAAATAATCTAATTTAATGGTATCTTAAATTCTTGTATACATTTGCACATATAACTTGTCTTATATTGCAATATTCTAAAATCCTATACTGAGTCATCAAAAAATTAAAAGCAATCCATGTCATTGCTAAAATTGGTTAGAGTAAACGTATAAAAGACACGTAATGTTGCAAATAGTATTAATAAAATATTGCTAGATTTAATTACATTATGAAATTAATTATTATGTGGTTTTTGTTACTCAAATTTTTTAAGTCAGTATCAGTCAATTAAACATTAGTTATTATCTTTGAAGTAAGTTGCAATTTATTTTTATTTATGTCTTTCTTTTATACCCTTCCTTTAATTGTACTCCAGACAAGAGTCTATCTCAGATTCTATATCATAATGGCAAATTTTGCCTGATAAACATAAAAAATAATAATAATAATTTTCTGTGAATTTTATTTATTGTTTTTATTACAATTTTGTAATCCCTGATTTAAAATCTTAAAATATTTAATCACCAAAATCAATCTAAGATTTTTATTTACTAATTATCTACATACGCATAAATTTTGGCAATGTTCTAAGTTCTAATAGAAAATATATACCATCATGATTTTCTGTTTCTATTTTTAGGATTATCAATTGGAGCTTGTCAATACTCGTAGGAAACTTGAACAGAAGCACATGGTGGACTGGATTGTTAATAGTGTTGTTAAGAGCATTACACCTCAACAAGTAATAATACTCTTTAGTAAATTATATAATTTTATAAATTTGGTATTAGAATATCAGCAAATATTAGTGTCTCGTGATATACAGCAGGGAACCGATTATCCGGAGTGATCCGGACCATTGCTATTCCGGTTAACTGATTTTTCCAGTTGTCTGAATCACTACAAAAAGCCGTTTTTTTTATTGTTAAACCCAACAAAAAAAAAAAATTTATTTGAAAATAATCTTAAAAAGAAGAAAAAACAATGAAGTAATACACTAATGATTATTTCCAAAATGATGGTAAGGTAAACATCTTTCAAAAAAGAAAGAAAAAACCTAAAATCTTATGAGGAAAAAAAAAAATTTTTTTTAAATGGTGAGAAAATTTATCGAATTTCGTTCTGGTTTTCTGACTTCCGGATAACGAGTCCTGTACTGTATTGCAATATTCTGCTAATATAACTAATTTTTGTAATTTATTGGGTAACAATACAGATTGATTAATTGGGTAACCAAAATGATTCACATTTTTTATTTCTGTAACCAGATTTATTGACACTCATAATCAAATTTAATAATTATTATTATCAATCAATCGTAATCAGGATATTACCATATTCATTACTTTTTATTACGCATTATTTTATTTATGTATTCAATAATATTGCATTATTGTATTCAATTATTGTCCTTATTGGTTATACTCGTAGCATCATTCATTATTTATTGGAACATGTTATATTCATGATATAGCACAAGTACTTTTTAAAATATTGTTATTGCAATGTCTAAATACTAAATCACCTAACTCTGCTCATAAATTTTCTTTTAGAAATATGTATCTTTGCTTTTAGAAATGTATTAATTTTTGTTTCATATTCTAGGAGAAAGAAGCATTACAGAAGTGTATAGATGATTTGAAAGCTTTAGCAGTTAAAGCACACTGAATCTAACAGCGAAAAAGAAAATTATTTGTGCTTGAATAAACTCAGTTAACTTTACTAATTAGAGAAAATTTAATAAATTAATCTACTACTTGAATTTTGTTCTTTTTTCTGCACTGATTCTGAACATTTAATTTTGTTTAATTTATTTTATACTTGAATGTATTGTGCCCTTCATTAAATTTCACATTTTTGATTGAAATATCACAATTTTTTTTTTAAAAAAAACTTTATTTTCAAAAGTTTTATAAAAGAAAATGACATGAATGGTTAATAAATATGTAGAAATTGACTATTAAGTTGAATGATATAGCATGAAGGTCATTTAAGCATAGCCATGAAATACGTGAGATGTCAAAAATATGAGTTCACATGTGATCTTTTTATCTGGTTTTAGGAAAAAATTAAGACAACTAACAATTTATTTCAAAACTTGATTTTCTCTTTAGCTTGATAGTATCAGTTGTCTAATTTTCCCTAAAAGCTATGAGGGTAATTTTTTGCATTATTTCTCTTATTTACGCCATCATGTTTGTGCCACTGGTGTCACTTCCAACACTTGAAGCATCAATGTCTGCAAACATACAAAAGATAAATTACATATGCACTAACCTAAAATAAATCACATTGATTTTTTTAATTACTGTACTCAAAATATCTTGTTAATGCATATCTGGAAAATTTGCACATGCTACTGGTTAATTTAGAAATGTGCATTGCTTGCAATGTTGAAAATGGACTATCAAAGTTTTCAGCTTTGTAAAAATGAAATTATCAAAAGTTTCTCATATTGCTTAGACATTTTATAAAATTAAAAACTGGTTAAGTATGAAATATCGTTTCATATTCACACAGCAGGGATGTGCGAGCCTTAGCCCTGTGTTCCCTATATTAATGTTATTTTAAGGCTGTGAACCAGTTCTCAGTATCCGGTCGTCCAGTATTCCTTACACTAAAGTTTTTCCCAATCAAATATTCCTAATACCCAAGTAAGTGGGTTAAAGTAAAATATGTGATTAAAAAAAAGATTGATTTATTGAATAGGAAATTTTTTTATTTTTCTTTGTTCATTTTAGTAATATTAAGAAAAGGGGAAGGGAGAATAATATGCTGTTTCATTCTCTGATTTAAATTTGCTAAACCTTCCATACTTTGCTTAATGACTGTTTGTCAATGTAGGCAATACGTAAAGTATATATTCATTTTTTCAATTTAATTTTTTCTTTAATTTTAGCTATTTTCTGTTTTTAATGAAACTGAATTTTGATTTAAGTCTATTGTTTTCTCCAAATCTCTCGCTATTGCTATGTATTGATAAACGTTGGATAAAATTCTTTGATTTTCTCTGTGTATGGGATTTTTCTTCATGGTTTTTTCTTTGTAAAAAAATCTTTTTTTCTGGTGAAAGTACACTGAATGCAGTTCAACTCAGAAAGCCCCTAGGGATAATGGATTTTCTTTATCTTTTTGCTAAAAACAAGTACTCTAAGTATGTATGTTCTGCTTTTTGAATCTAAAATTCATGAAATAAAATATTTAGCTTTAGCATAAAATATTTTAACAGACTTTTTTTTTATCGATTTACTTGTTTTTCAAGCATGCAATACTTTATTTTTCACAAGTGCGTTTTATATTCTATTGGGATGTTTTATAAATTTGTTCAAGTTAATTGAACTAAAAAATTTGAAAACTCAAGCTGTAAAATGTATTGTAATTTGTAAAATGATTTACAACAATTTATATACAATAGTAAGTGCCAAATGTCCCTAGTCTTTAGGAAGATTATTATTTTTTTCTTTTTCGGTTTTCTTTAAATTTTTTTAAAAAAAGTGCTGAAATTAATTTTAATTTCACAAGTTCCCAGTAGCGTATGCAATGAGAGGGTTTGGGGTTCAAACCCCTCCACCTTGATGAGCAAATTTCTTTAACAACTGGAAAGTTAAAACACATCTTGTTTTTAATTTCCCACAAAATTCAATTTTTTACATTAATAAATAAAAAATATTTTATGATTAAGAAAGTAGAACTGCCCAAAATTGTGCGAACAAAAACTAAATAACTGCTACTCGACACCTTTCTGTTGCCTTTCAAGGGAATAATAAATGCTTTTCACAGATGAAAATTGATTCTACATAGCTGACAGCGATGAACCGTGTAGCTAGACAACTAAACACTTGCAGGCGTGCTCCAACGTTGTACTAATACACTGCACAGATTGTAGAGATTTTAAAGTAACATTTGATTAAAAGTTTTATATCAAATGAATCAATCAGAGATATTTTTTGATTAAAAGGAAAGCAATTACTATACATTCTAATTGTTTCTTACTAACATTAGTCTTTAGTAATATACTGGGTTTCATAATGTAATGACCGCTGATGTAAAAAAATCAATGAGAAAACGGAAGGAGAAACAGGGTTCCCACTCAATTTGAGAAAAAAAAATTCCCTGACTTTCCAGGTAAATTTCAATGAAAATCAATACCATATTTTACTTATGTTACGAAATTTTTCATCAGAAAATTTTAATTCTTTTATTTGTAATGCCAAGTATTAGATTTTCTATGTAAAATAAATATTATATGAGGAATGAAGCATTTCAGTTTGTCTAAAATGTGAAATTTTTACAATAAATAATTGTAATAGATGTTGGAATTATTTAACTAAAATCTCAACAACTGAATACTGTTACTGACAATTTTAAGACTGGTTTTTTTCCAGGTATAATGAAGGAATTTTCCAGGTTTTGTAAAAAAATTGCAACTTTCCTTGACCATTCCCTGATTTTTGGAGTTGAAATAAAGTTCCCTGACAATTCCAGGATTTCCCTGTTCTCCCTGACCCGTGGGAACCTTGATGAAAAAAATAGAAGAAATGAATAATCCTAATATAATGGAGAAGGGGGGAGGCGATATATCTACTTGTTAGTAAATATGAAACTGCTAACAAGGTTTTTCATATACAATTATAAAAATAAATGGTTTGTTGTACTTTGCGAAAGGAATCAATTAATTTCTCATTACTTAATTTCAAAATTAGGAACGAAATTTTTTAGCAGCTGGCACTGCTAACTGCGATAAAATAAAAATTCATTTGAAGACAAAATTCACTATACCTCCGCAATTCTTTTTTCTTCATGTGTTCTGATTTGCAACAGGAAATATTCTTTTATAGTCAGCAGCGCCATCTGTTAATGAACTTCTAACTAATTATAAATTAAATAACACTTTGTTTCCTAAACAAAATGCAGTAAATAGTTCATTGCTACCTCCTGTTATTATAATTTTTTAAATTTTTAATCTGACAATTGTTATTATGTGGATGAAAAGCCATATCATTAATTCCTCATAGGCGTTTTTTTGAATTCTGTAGCGTAGTAAACCTCATCAAGCCCTACCCAATAAACCTGCTTAAATGAAAACAATTAAGATGGCAAATGCGATGTGCGTAGTTGAGAATTAAGAAAGATTAACTTACTTTGAATATAATTTATCTCAGATCTCCGTTTCCTGAAAAAAGAAAAGCAAAAATTTTAGTTAATTTCACTCCATTTTCTGATTATATCACCAAATTGCAGTACTTCAAAGTCTACGTCATTCATTCGCGTTGGCCTATAAATGAAATATCCTTTTTCTTATTTTGGAAATTAAGAAACGTCCCTATGTTAAACCCATCTTTGTCGGATTTTATTTTTCGAATTTCCGACCCAAAAAAGCATATCTTTTTATTGCTGAAAATTAATATATATTCTATCCTAAATTTGAAAATTCAAAATATTTTTGTCAGAAAGCATTTTTTTTGCTTGACATATCAATGGAGAAATATATGATGTTCCATCCACTAATCTCCAGTTTTCCCTGCAATACACCCAAGTTTTATCTTTAATAAAAAACACTGACCCTACCGTTATAACAGTTTTACAATCAGTCTTGGGCATCAGAATGTAAAAATCATATTTATCACTAAACTATCAGAACTATTTTGGCATACAACTGTAATACTAAAGAAAGCGAAATTAAAGAAAGTAAAAGTGGTAATACTAAAGAAAGCGAAATTAAAGAAAGTAAAAGTGATTTTGATTATAATGAAAGGCGGGAAACTTCACTGCTACAATTGTGAAGAAAGTGGGACCAGTTGCACTAACTCTTAGAAATATTCAGAAATACAAAACGAATAACGGGATTTAAAGAGGCGTGTATGAAATAGTATCGTATGAATAGTGTTTTATGCCAAATTAATTGGAATAAATTTTGTTAATTAATTTTAGAATCAAATAATTTCTTAATTAGTTAAAAAATATTCCAAAAAACAGTCATAAATTAGTAAACTGGTTAAAGGTGAGGGATGGATTAGAAAGGGATTCACGATGCCGTAGAAAGGAGTTCTTTCAGAATGGTGTGTTATTTATGGTAAAAGTACAACCAACAATTGAAAAGGAATGCTAAAATAAATCAAACTCGATGAAGGGTGGGTTTTGTAGACTCTATATTGAAATTTGAATTTCAAAATTTAATATTTTGTTACTTAATTTTAATATTAAGCTTAGGCTTATTGGAATAAAAATGTCGTATTTTCAGGATAACTATTCGACTTGTTACGTTAGAAAACCATCCACTTTTGACTTATTTTATTATTATTATTACTTTTTTATAACCGTCGTTGAACAGACGACCCAATTTTGGGTTTACGACTACTAATGTTCAACTCCGTAACCTTGTAATTTTGAACCAATCCCGAAGACAAGGAAACTCCTGGATTAGTACCCCCAGAGGTATTGATTTGTAATGGGAACATGGAGGACTTTGAGAATCGACAGATTTAGCGTGCATCAGTCAACGTTTACTACACGGGGAGTTTTCGGGGCCGGCAGGGATCGAACCAACGACCCCTTGGACATGGGCCCCGTGCCGTACCAACAAGGCTATCCCGGCCCCATTATATTATTTTGTGCTTATTCGGCATGTAAGTCATTCTCAGAACTAACTAGTCAATGACTATTACACAATGTGCAATGCTTTTGCAAAGGTAAGTCGCCCTTTTATAAACGCCGCAACTTAACACACCTGTTATAAATACCCATTTATAATAACTAAATGAATAAAGAGTTCCTACAAAAAACAATTAAAATAGTTTTTGAATGTGATAGAAATTTATAATAACTATCGCATATTAAATCAGCAATAATCGATTCTTATAATTTTCTTTGCGCACGATTAAATCGTACCTCCTTAACTTCAGTACTCTCAAATTTTAAAATATGAATTGAAACTATTGTATGCCACTTTAATGTTAAAAAATCATAGATTTTATAATTTAAAATATAAACAATCACAAATTATTTTAAGTTTTAGATATTAGGTATTATGTCTTTTACCTTTTCATGCGTAAAAGAATCAAAATTCCTAATACAGCAAGAAGCAAAAATCCAGCACCACCACTCGCATAAATAATTGTGTCTACAGTATCTCCAGCTCCGCTTTGCAAATCTAAAATGAAAAAAGAAGTTATTCAAAGCTACTTAAAGTTAACTAAGAATATGAATTATTATTGTCTATTCTTTTTTCGATTTAGGGATATATGCTGATTTAAAAAAATTTGTATACATTTTTTAATCGTTTTAAATTCAATGTTTTATACATATTTTTTCACCAGACTCTGTCTTTCTTTTTTTTCAGTAACTGGACATTTTAATTATACTCGAACATATCCTATTACAATAAACGTTTAGTAATAAAAAAAACTTCAAACTGATTTTTTATTTCGAAAGGGTATTGCATAAAAGAAGAAAATAAATACTCAAACTCCGGATACACTTAACTAATACATGCAAACTTTTCTTTAAAATTACTTAACTACAATGATCATCAAAATGTTAGGTGTTATTATAATAAATGAAAAATTCATAAGTATGTTACATAGGAAGAGCTTGGAACAAGAAAAACAAAGTAATCTCCCAAATTTTCAAATTATTGAGGTGAGTTTTTTTTTCTGGTTTTTTCCTGAATAACACCACGATTTATCGATAATTTAGCATATATATGTTACGGGCAATGTAATTATTTAGGTCAGTATTCGTAATGCTTAGTTATTATGAATAATGACCATTAAAATTGGGCAATTTGATAAATTTAAATTTCTTTACGATAATTTCTCACAACATAGCTTAGCTATAGCTTAAATATTCAAAAAAAATTAAACAAAGCGTTTGAATCAATTTTAAACTGATACCGAAATTATTGCTTTAAAATTTAAAAAAAAATAATAAAAACTGCGCCAGATAAGAGTAATTGAAGTAGTTGCTTTATACAGCGCATGTGCGGGAAAAAATTTTAAAAAAAAATTATCCAGGTGCATTTAAAAGTGGGTGAATATCCCAAGACACCTTGTGGCTATGTGTGACACAAATTGCTCACTTGAGCATTATACATAATGACCGGGCAATGTAATAATTGCAACATAATTTATCATTTTGTCATATCCTTTTGGGCACATAAACAATGCCCAATTATTTACATTGCCCGTGACATATATATATATATATATATATGTAAATGCCTTGGTTACATTAATAAAGTCAATCAAGACATTTAATGATTATGCTTATTCTTTAATGATAACATGAGTCACACAGACTCTTAAACAATTGAGATCGAACCAAACAGGTTCCAGTTTCACACAGAAACATATTTCAATTAACTAATTTTATAGTCACTTAGAGTCTTAATCACTAAGATTATCAGTTTCACTTAGAAACTACTCCGACAGACAATTCCAACTGCCTCTCTTCATTTACATCAAGAAAGTTCTATGCCTTTCGTTCAGACGAGCGACANTATATATATATTTCTTTAATGAATAATGATCTTTTTTCGAAGAATAATCAATACGAATAAATTCGCAATGTGATATCGTCCACTCGCATAAAGCACTTGGTACATTTTATTAAATTAGTCTGTTGTTGAAAAGACTTTAAATGTCAAAAGTCGTTTATACGATGTTGCCAGAAGTGCTATAAAGTTAAAATAGTGGTAGCTAGTTAATGATGTAGAAATTTAAGGTTTTGAAACTCACTCTATCGTTTAGAGTTCTGAAAAGTAAAGACTGTTACAACAAGTTACAACTGCAAAATCCACGCCGAATTGGAAGGGCAGGACTTAGGCCTCGTAATGGTTACAATAGCATTTTAATGAGTACGGAAAAGCAAGCACGTATTTCCTCATTCTATGTTAATTCTACGAAAAAAAGCTTGTTTCGTTTTATCTCTGTGAATTTTAACTCAGGGCCAATCACAGAATGTTACTCGTATGCTGTGATTCATGACCAAACAATTATACAGAACTTAATAAATTCAATTTCAAAAAATAGAATAAAAAAACTCATTAATCTAACTGATAAATAAGTATTTTGCTATAAAGTTACGGTAAAACCGTTTGGGGCAGATAGTTGCATTTTTTTTGCACATCTATAAAAAAAACAAAGCCCGTCTTTTTACATGTTTCTCAGTGATAGCAGGAAAGGGTTTCAAAAAATAATATTAATTTTTAACTAGTTGTTATATTTAGGTTGAAAACTGAAAAAGCGCTGTGTCCACTTTTCTTAAAAACGCTTTTCGAGCTGTGCCCATATTTTAAGTTCGCATTTTGTGCCGTGTCCAGATTTCAAAACACACCGACGTACTCCTTGGAAATAAAAGGTTTCTTGGGAGTTATTTCTTTATATAGCTTTTCAATTCTTATTTACTTCAACAGGTAATCAAACAGCTTTAGATGCTTTCAGTCCTGTTTTCCTCAATGATTTGACTGGTTTTGATAGCGTTTTTTTTCTTTGCTTCTTATTATATTAATTTGCTACTTCTAATATGTATATTTTAATGAGGTCATTTTCGACAAGGATTCTAAAAAACCTTATTAATACTTAGGATGATAATTTGAAAATGATTAAAAAAAAGTTATTTTGAAAGTGGGCATTATAAAGCCCCCTGTATAAAGTTTGGAAGCAGAGCCCATTTCAAATGTTTGGGCGAGAAAGATGCAAACGCAATTGAATAGAGCTGAGATTAAAGCGCGAACTCACATGTATCATACATATCATGAACATTTGACGTGTTTAGGTTTATTTTTCTAGTTAATTACTAAAGATTCTCTTTTTCCTTTTTTTAAATCTTTTCTCTGTTCTGAAGTATTTTTTATCTAGAAGTCTTGGGTGTTATCTGATGATTTAAGAGGAATATTAATATTAATTCTGTATTACCTTCTTTACACCTTTTTCCGGCATACGATATATTACACTCGCATCTAAAACTTTCTGAATCTCTAAAACAGCTTGCATTATTGCATGGATCTTGCAAGCAAGGATCTTGAGCTGGAAAAAAAAATTAAACATGATACAACTGATAAAATCAATATCTTAAGTTAAGAAGTTAAGCTGGAATTTCGTACATATTGGAAATAATAGCAGACGTGCCAACCTAGCAAAATTAACATTCCGGAGTTTCCCTAACAAGAATTCAGGAGATTTCAGGAGGGGTAAAAAAAGGTGCATGATATGCAACATTTGGCACTTCTAAGGAATTTTAAGTAAAAAATTTATTAAATATAAGAATGCAAGAAATTTTACACACTAATAGAGCAATAATTGTTTAAAAATATTAAATGGAAATAAAATAATTAAACACAGATTTAGCAACACAAAACTATATTAGGTAGATACTCTTTAAATAAATACCATTTCCTTAATAAAACATTATTCAAAAACCCGACACTGTAATAAAAATACACAAAAACTTTTAAAAAATAAACAAATTGAATAAGTATTTTATTTTAAAAAACCAATTCAATACTAATGTCTGTACAATAAAGAACCAATTATCCGGGATGCTCGGGACCATCGCTATCCCGGATGTCTTAATTTCCCGGTTTCCTGGATCGACAAAAAAGTGTCGTTAATCGATGTTTTATCAAACCCAAATTACAAGGAAAAAATGTAAACACATTTTAAAGTAAGAGAAAAAAGAAAAGCACTCCTAAATCTAAAAAGGAAAAAAATTGTAGAAAAATAAAATTTAAAAGAATAAAAAAATTTGCAAGTTTAGACAAGAAAAACAAGTTTAAAAAATAATTACGATTCCTAAATCAACTAATAAACAAAACCAATGATTAAATAACGCAATATATTTCATGGGGGGGGGGGAAAATAAAAGGAAAACCTATTAATCTAAATAAAAACAACACTTGAAAATTATCGAACCGAAACGATAGTTAAAAAACGGCACTAGCATAAATATTAAAACCTAGAACAAGGCAAGATCAACGGACTTTAAAAAAAAAAAAAAAAAAAAATGAAAAAATTTGGTAATACAAATAATTTTATTGAGTGCAAAATTTATCATGAAAAAGAAAAAAAAAACGTAGTGGAATCAGAAAAACGAAACTGCAATCTGCTTCATAAAATAATTGTATGCTTAAATTAATAAACAATTCTCCTTTTTTTTTTTTTTATAAAAACGCGATTTTTAATTAAAGCAGGTGTGATTCCACATCAAGAAAAACTTGCGAATGATACCGCACTTCCAAAGAATCAGAATTTATTCAAAAGAAAAACATTTTATTTTTATTAATCGATGTCAAATAGATAAATATATTTTTCTCTTTCATCTTCTGTTCACTGATATGCATGTGCAATGCATTTTCCCCACCCCCTCGTAAATCAAACTAGCAAACGAAATCATCATGCCACTCCTTTGAGTTTAACGACCTAAAAGAGAATAAAGATCTAAAATCTTCAAGGTCGCGGAAGAAATGACGTTTCTCTGGGTAAACGGGGAAAAAAATTCTTCCCTTCCTCACATTTTCCTCTACTCAACTTCAAGGATTAGTCCAGTTTCCGCTTTTTTTTTTATATCGTTTTAGTTCAAAATGGCGGGAGAACCGAGCAAATTTTTTTTCCGGATTATCTGGATACCAGATAAATGGTTCTCTACTGTATGCATGAAAAAAAGAGTTGCAGACTTAGCTCTCCGCAATTAAGTCTTGCTAAAGTCATTGGTACATGATTTGTTGAAATTGATCCATACTTCCGTTTCGACTTAAGACATCCTTGAAATTTTTTTTTTTTAAATATACGAAGACTAAACGAATAATTGATATCACGTTGCTAGTTTACGAGCTTGTTGCCAACCGTGGAAAAATACGCATTAAAAACTATAAAAACAGCAAGATACAATATCAATTCCAACTATCGAGAGTACGAGTTTCCCCACTCCTGAACGGACGTCACTCGATAACGACATGTGACGTCATTGCATTCAACTCCACACGAAAGAAGAGGAAGATTTCACCCGCCCCCAGTGTAAGGGGGCGGGTGAAATAGGAGTGTTTTTAGAGGTAACGTTGAAGAGGGGGGAAAATAAAGCATGTTCAGCTACGCTTCAGGCAGATGGTAGTTTGATAAGAGGGGATGGAATTCAAGCTGAAAGAAAAACTTACCTTCGCACTCGCGGAAAAATTAGGTAATTTTGAGTTTGGCCGTCGATCGCAGTAAAATTCGGGAGTTTTTCAAATCAATTCCGGAGGGCGGGAGAATAACTCAAAATTCGGGAGACTCCCGCAAAATGCGGGAGAGTTGGCACGTCTGTAATAGTATATATTTCATCGTGAATGACCGAAATTAGTGTGACGACTTTCACTGATAAATGTCAACAATTAAATAATCCATTTGATAAATTTCCGAAATTTATACCAGATCTGATTTGATATTATTTTATCGATTGATTTTTAAGTATTTATTTAATATTTAAATATCCGATAAGAATAGATTAGGAAAACACGAGTGTTGCGAATATCACGCAGGTATATAACCAAAATCCTGCAGGATTATAACCGATAATCACAACTCTTATGTTTTTTTAAAGATTTAAAATCTTTGCCCGGTTTTCCATACTTTGATATTTTAAGGTAAAATGCCTCTTTTTGAAAATATGTTCTTTTGGAAAATATACCGTTCTCGTGAACAGAATATAATTATTTTTAAATGAATATACGCTTAAGAATAATGTTAAAAACAATAATCTCGCTCTCGGAATTACGAGAATGAGAGAGTTCAGAGATTTTCAATTGCAACATCTATTTTTTTCATCGAATCGAGATCTTCACTGTAAAAACTTAAAATTATTATGACATACAAAATGGCGGTTCAAGGCAGGAATAAAGAAAATTATTATTTTATAAAATTTCGACCTGTAACTATTTGAATGCTTTCTTCTTTTCTTCCATTCCATTCTTTTAGAGAATATGCAGGCCTGGAGCCGCGATGGCTCAGGGGATAGAGAGTTCGCCTTCCAATGAGGTGAACCGGGTTCGAATCCCAGCAATGGCTGGTCGATACGAACTCTGCATCCGGCTTGCACCTACCACAATGCTGACGTAAAATATCTTCAGTGGTAGACGGATCATGGGATCGAGTTCCCCTGCTGTCAGGCTAACCGTGAGAGGTTTTCGTGGTTCACCTCTCCATGTAACGCAAATGCGGGTTAGTTCCATCAAAACGTCCTCCATGATGGCAGATTTATCCCAAAAATTGATCCAGAAGTTCCCTTGTTTTCTGGATTGGATTCAAAATTACAAGGCTACGGAGTTGAACATTAGTTGTCGTAAACCCAAAAAATTGGGTCGGCTGTTCAATGACAGTTATAAAATAAAATAAAAATATGTTGACCTGAAGGTCGTATGTAAACAAAGTTATTTTTTAATCACCTTATATATCTCCATTATACCAGCATGGAAAAAGTTACAACTCAAACTTTACTTCGCGAAAATTTTGAATGACTTAGAATACGGGACGACATTTTTTTTTTATTAGTTTTTTCTATTATTGGATATGAAAAAAGTTTAAAATTTATTATTAACTAACCTATATTTAGCGAAACATAATATCATAACTATCAAAACATTACGGGAAAGAAAAAAACTGAAACAGCTACCTAGTACCTATAAATTACCTAGTACCTACCTCACTACCTATAAATGTTGAAAATTATAACTATGTATTGTCTACATATATTAATAAAGAAACATAATAAGGCTCGAAAAATTATTTTAAATAACAAAATAAAATGACAGCATTTAATTTTAAAAAGAGAATACTATAAATACTTACATTCTTCGCAATTCAGTCCCTTAAATTTTTCCAAACAAGTGCAGTAGTAAGTATTTCCATCTGAACTGCAAATACCGCCATTTTTGCAAGGATTTAGACTACAAAAATCTTCATATCCTGAGGAATGCAATTAAAAAGTCTATTCTGAAGAAATGTCAATAATACACTCATAAATTCAATTCAATTTAATTTTGAGAAAAATTAAGATTTAATAATTACGTTCTTCACATGCAGGTCCTCTGAAGTTTTCTGAACACGTACAGTGATATTTATCTCCTTGAGAACTACAAATACCATTATTTTTGCAAGGATTTTGCATGCAAGGATCTTTGACTACAACGAAAAGCAATTAAAAAATATGATGTAAATGGCTATCAGTAACAATCACGTTAATTTAAATACAAAAATATTATTTACGTTCTTCACAATTAGTTCCTCTAAAGTTTTCCTTGCATGTACAAGAGTATTTATCTCCATCAGAATTACAACTGCCGTTATTTTTGCAAGGATTAAGGATGCAAGGATCTTTAATTTCTGTAAGAAGCGATTAAAGAATCTGATGAAAGGGATTAGTAATACATTTATAAAAATATTTCAGTTAAATTTTAATAAATCAATTTTAAATTGTTGCACTCGAGGCAATAAAGTAAGTTTAGATTCACTAATTGTTGAAATTTAAAAATTTAATAGTTTAACATAGATTTCGAAAAAGAGCTGGATCGAGGTGGGGAAAAAACTAAACGCATAAAATTACAAATATTAAATGCGTTTTTTACTTATCAAATTGGAATTTTTACAGTTTATACTTCTGTCATTTTAAAATAATTAATGCGATCTAAAATACAAACACAAAAAATAAACAAAAAAGAAAACATAATAAAATTTATCACATAGTTAATTAAAATATCTATATCAGTTAAAATTAAATGGAAATATTCATAAAAGCAAATTTAAAAAAATCTTCAAAGGAGCAGTGATAGATTTCAGCGGTTATCAGAAACAAAGAACTGAGGAATGGTACGTCGGTTGGAAAAAGGAAGACAAACTTCGAAAAATGGTTAGTATTGCCAGATGTTTACTAGTAGTCTTTGTACCCCCAGAAAAGTTTATTTGCTTCGTAAGTAGCACTAGAAAGACCGACACTCTAGGAGGACTGAAGGAGTCAGTTTGGTTCTTCCCAGATTGTATGTAGCTCAATTAATCATCAAATACTTAAAATATAATCATAATTAGTTTATTAAAAACCAATTGTAGACTTGATTATCAAAATTCTATAGCATTTTACTCGATTTCGTTAATGAACCGAATTTGATTAAATGAATATATTATATATTTGATTAAATTAAACACTTTTGAATTATATTTATATCTTAGTTTCTTGGATAATTGAGTTCCCTTTTTTCAATTACTAATAATTAAATAATTATGCATACATTGAAATAATTTTGTTTTTTCAATGAAACAGGGGAACCTTATACTTACCTTATACCCAAACCTACCTGGAGTTATGGAATACCTAATACTAGAATACCTAAGGGGCCAATCTGACTCTTCCGGTATTTCCAAGTATAAGGTTTGATATAAAATTTTCTAACTAACATGAATAATTAATTAAGCACTTTTAAACATGAAACTTGAATTAACTTTTTTAAACATGAATGATTAAATAAGCACTTAAATTAGATCAAATTCTGAAAAGTCAGAAATACTCAACACATTCAGAAAGTTATTTGAATTACTAAGCAACAAAAAACGAGGTGGGGCAAATTTGCCCCATTCGTTGTTCCAGGGTGTTAGCTAAAAAGAACAAATGTCTGTAACTTGAAACAAAAGATAATATTCGATAAAAATTAAAGGCTTAGGAGGATTAAAATTAACTTATCACGTCATCGTTGAAGTCATATCTCTAAAATGAATGTGATCAAAGTTAATTTGAAAAATATACGCTCAAAATACTAAAGGCAATTTTAAAAATTTTAAAAATAAATCACAAAAAATAGTTTTATTCCTACATATTTTAGAGCCTTTAAGTGGGGAGAGGAGATCCTAAATATTTTGGGGGTCTAATAATTAATGTCAAAAAAGGTCCCCTTGCTAAATATTACGTAAGCATAATTATGACAAATTGTACTCTCTTATGTCAGCAAAAGTAAGCAAGCCGTCACCTTCAAGTTTGCTCACGTATGTCTTAACTTTAATTTTGACTATTATTGTGGAAATCTTATTTTAGGATAAAATTCAAATAAAAGATGTAACTTCACAGAAAATAAAATTTATGTTTTTTATTCGTTTTATTGAATTTTGAGTGGAATATTCCTTAAGAATCTTTTGAATTTCCTTTTTGTTTTCAAACCTCTTGACTCTGAAACTTTTACGAGAAATTTTTTCCAATTCCTTCTTTCCCCGAATTGAATATTAAATTTGAAATTTTTCCAATTGCAATTTTTTAAAACTTTTAAAAAAAGAAAAAAAAAAAAGAAATTGAAAAATATATAGATTTTTTTATGTCTTACGTAAGCATTGTTCGTACCTCTCCTCCACTCTTGTCTCCAAAAACAAGTAAATAACAAAACTCATTCAGTCAGAATTCCCATGGACAGGAAAATTTTTTAAAATGGTATTAAAAGTGAGATAAGTCTATTTGTTTAAAGCATTCAATGAATATTAAATTTAAAGGAAGTATACATGGGCGCAAAATAAATAAATAATTAATTAAAAAAAACTCGGGGATAGAAAGATAAATATAATCATTTTTCAGTAATATTGAAAAATCTTAGCTACCACTTATTTATTTTTTCAAAATCGTGGGAACCCTGTAGGTGCTTTTAAAATACACTGGTTATCATAAATTAAGGAAAATTCACAAAAATCGCGATAACTCAAGAAATTACACATGGAATTTTATGAAACTTACCCACAATATACAACACATAGTAAGGTATTAAACAACATAAAAAGAAATTATCAGACATTAATAGTAGTATAGAAATTAGCACATGTATAAAATAAACAAATTGGAAGTATCGGTTTGCAATAGAAAAAGTACCTTTAATATGGAATATGATTGCCTCTAGAAGCAATACAGCACAAACAGCGATGTGTGATGCTTTCAATTATGCGGTCTATCAGTTCAATAGGAAGTGAGAGCCATTGCTCTTG